TTTGAGACCAACATTCATAAAAAAAGCTAAAAAGATTCTAGAAATGAAAAATCACCCTTTGGGTCAGGACTTTGTGATTTTACCATCACAAAAGAGATACAAGACACCGATAGCAAAGACAAACAGACACAAACACTCTTTTGTTCCCCTGGCAATCAAATCATTAAATAGGAACAATCTGATATAAACTTTTTACATGTAAATTATGAGTGAGTCTGGTGTGAATGTATATTTTGGTTTTCTAGTTACAATGTTTTGTTTGCACAAATTGTAAGAGAAATGTCCTTATGGACAATAAAGATTATTATCATTATTATGTTAGAAACGAAAAAGTTTTCATTCTCTGGTGCTGCCAGGGTCGGGGTTCACTAAAGAGAAACAAAATTCATCGTAGTCCCTTTAACAGTTTCCACTGAGGAATTTTCTGGTGATGTGGCAGGTCTGCATCAGTACTGCCCTCTGACAGGCAACTAGGATGTTGGAGTTTTTGCCTATAACCTGGGAGAGATTTATCATCACAGTTGTTTACACGGAAGAACGATTTGATAATGTCTTTATTCATTTCTCTCGTCCATTTGATCCTTTTGGCTCCTCTTGTTCTACCACCAACAGCGCCTCTCAATTGTGTGGGGTGCGAGTCAGGGAGTAGACCGACCTCTTGTGTTTGGTCATGAGGTTGTGAATTACCCTCAGTAAACACTCGACTCATTGGTGAATAATATTTACCGCCTAATTTATTCCATATTCATCACTGTCCTGGAAGAAGCATTCGCTGTAGGCCTCAACACTGACCTTTAATGTTAGAATTTGTGGACATAAGCTCGTTGACACATCACAGGTCTGTACGAATTGGCAACGAGCTTTTTGGCCTAAACTGCCCACAGGTTGTGACGTGGCAGGTCAGTGTTGTGGCCTCATATTACGAACGGTCTCAATTGTACCCATCCTTGTTTCATAAACTCTTCGTTAGTTAACAAGCTGTCTTAATCACGTCTATTAACATTATCTTGTTGGCGTGAGCCTCCTTCAGTCGTGGATCGTCACAGGTCCGTACGCCGTGGCAATGAGCTATTGGTCTAAACTGCCCACAGGTTGTGACGTGGCAGGTTAGTTTCGAGGCCTTCAATAACTATTGGTCTCGGATCATCTAATCTAATTAGCCGAGGTCGGAATGCTTTCTCCCTTGACAGCTGTTCCCCTAATCTTCATGCGGCTGATGTATTCTAAGGAACGGCTGGTGCCTTTTACAATTTAGGATCAGCTGCTACGCACGTTCTGCCATATTGTAACACTGTGTGCTGCCTTAGGGTCACCGACACCTTATTTTTGCACTTAAAGTAGACTCATGGAGCCTTTCCCATGTTTGTGTATCGTCACAAGGCAGCAAAGCTTTGGGTTCAAAGTTGTTTTTTTTTATCTTCTCCAATAGCCGGCCGAGACTAAGTACTAAGTAGCCCCTTAATGTTTTAGTCGCCAGTTGCCTGCCTATGCAGTTCGCCCCTTCTCATGTCAGTGATAACAGTTCCGCAGAATGCTATAGCAGGATAGAGGGTATGGTGTAGATTATGAACATGGCATATCTTTCGTCAAATAAATTACTCTTAGCAAAGACGCATCCAGAACTTTTGAAACTTTTCTTTAAGAAGGTTGGCTCTAAGGTTTAAGAAGGTTGGCTCTAAGGTTTAAGAAGGTTGGATCTAAGGTTTAAGAAGGTTGGCTCTAAGGCTTAAGAAGGTTGGCTCTAAGACTGAAGAAGGTGGCTCTTAGGCTTTAGGAGGCTGGCTCTAAGGCTTAAGAAGGCTGGCTCTAAGGCTTAAGAAGGTTGGCTCTAAGGCTTAAGAAGGTTGGCTTTAAGGCTTAAGAAGGTTGGCTCTAAGGCTTAAGAAGGTTGGCTCTAAGGCTTAAGAAGGTTGGCTCTAAGGCTTAAGAAGGTTGGCTCTAAGGCTTAAGAAGGCTGGCTCTAAGGCTTAAGAAGGCTGGCTCTAAGGCTTAAGAAGGTTGGCTCTAAACATGTACGTTTGACGACTGAAGGGTTTAACCACTTTAGTTAAAAAAATAATTGCTTCAACAAATTGGTAAATAAACAAAAAAGATAGTTATATATTAAAATTTTCTAAAATCCAAATGTAAAGAAGCGACCTCTTGAAACCCCGTGCTCTTTAAGAGATTGTGTACAAGTATGTCAAAAAAGTGTAACATAAAACTTTTGTTTTTCATGGAAAAGCCTATACTGCTTTTGTGTTGTTCGTCTGTCCCTCTGCCTGCTAACATTTACATCTAAAAAACAAACAAACTGCAATAGCTAATTGAAATCAGATTTCCCTATGGCCTGTACGTGGTCTTTCCCCGGTGTGTGCGACTCAAACAGCGTCGTGAAATTAAAGAGTTACTGTCCCTGCATCTGCTCTGACCGCCATCTTTGTCGGAAGCAAGCAGACGGTGTTTGTGTCTTTATGAACAATTATAAGCAACAGATTATCTTATAACATTTACTCTTGTAAAAAAAAAAACAGACGTTACTTCAAAAAAAAAAATAATTACGTCCTCCGCATGTCCCTAGGTCAATCTAGTCTTGCTGGTTAATCGATGACTTAAACTTTGCCAAGTCGTTGTTTTTCCGGGCTGATTCAGGCAACCAATTCCATGCACTAATAGCACAAGAGAAGAAGGAAGTATTTGTACAAACTTGTTTTCAGCCCAGCAGCAAATGTAGGGTAAAACTAAAAATTTAATTTAATTTGCATTTTTATTTCACGTTTAACGAATACAATAAAATAACAACAATATTATAACAATAGAACAGTTTATAACTTTATATTATTATTACACAAGCTTGGCATAGCCTGGGGATGAGACGCTGGTTCACAATGAAACAATAAACTTACTAGAGCTTGCCATTTAAAATAAGACATCGATTGTGCCGCTGTGTGGCGCGAAATGTAGTCCTGAAAAAGGCTTTAGCGTAGGAATACATCGAGCTGAAAGTGAAGAGTTTAATGCAAGAACACAATGTCTGAAAACTTGAAGCTCCTTTATTATTAATAGGGAAAGCGTTCGTCAGATTACGATGACACGTGAAAAGAGTATTATAGTCGTAATGTTGCGCCTGGCACGGATAGACTATAAGTTCTGCACTTTTGTAACCTTTGACATCTACATGCTTTCATATAGCCACTTTGATATAGTCAATTTCGAATAGTTTTCATGCTTACTGTGGTTTTTGAGATATTTGAAAAAAAAAATGTAGGCCTAGATTTAGCCGAAAAAAACAAACAAGTCAATATTTTAAAGAAATATATAATAAAAATCTTAGGTCTCTGGTCTTCAATACGTGCTTTGGATCTCAAACCTCAAATGTGTGTCGCGCGAGCTTCGTGAGAGCTCTCCGTCTCTTTTAGAGGCCATCTGCTGTCAGCTGCTTTCCTTTGTGACAGCATAAAACTTAAGATAAACTACTTATATAATAAGTCACTGTCTGTATAGTTTATTTTCCCGTTACCAAATTTGTTTATGGTACAGGGTTGACCACATAACGATCAACCAGTTCTACCTCCATCAACTGAGCGAGACACCAAATCGTCATAGAAGGCCTAAACACTGACCTGCAACGTCGCAACCTGTGGGCAGTGGAGACCAATAGCTGGTTGTCACGTCACAGATGTCGACGTCGCAGGTCAGTGTTGTGGGCTGCTATAACGAATGGTTTCGATCTGAGGCCTTGCACTCTGACCTGTGGTCACCAAATGCAAATAAAGACATCCTAGTATCTCAAGCAGAAATCGAACTTAATACGACTGAATCAGGGCAGTCACGTTACGTCTGCTCGTAACAATGTGTCTTCTCTTCCACCTCTTTTAAAACGTATATCCTGATTGTATTCAGAATCTTGAGCGATGCTATGTATCTGCTCCATTTGAAACTCCAATCACTGGATCGATGCTCTGAGGTGTTACTACAGCAGACTTAGCTTCTTGTAATGATTTACAAGTTATATCTCCACCGTCTTGTGACTATATCACACACATTCACTCCACGTACACACACACGTGCATGCTCACAAACACACACAGTGGTGTAGCAAGGTACCCGTGGGCCCGGATTCAAGAATATGATAATGGGCCCCTCCCCCCTCTCTTATGACACATTTTGTGGCTAAGTTTGTATGTATCTATGCATTAGCTAAAAGACATTCTAATGTAACTTCATGAACACAGCTGACAGAATCATTGAAGGACCATGTTTAGGCACTGTTTAGCACAGTGAACATAATGCGCAAGTGGAGGCACCTTCCTAGACTTTACCTGAATTAGTCCCCTGTATATTAGGCTGCCGTCTCAGGCTTTGTGAACACAAACATGAAATAGAAACAATAGATAACTATACAATCGTCCATGTTCATAGACTCTTCGCTAGCAGAGTGGTTATCGCGTTGGCTTGTGCTTAGCTCACAAGTTCGAAATGATGTTCCCTTTTTTTAAAATTTATTTTTACAAATGCTTTTTTAATGTTAGTCTAGATCTATTACGAAGCTAATTACATGACTGATCCAAACTAATTGATACAAGTACGCTTAATATAATTTTTTTATAAAGTATATTTTTTTATGTTTTCTTGTTTTTTTTGTTGTTAAAAACATCTAAATTAGAATAGGCAACATTTCTCAAGAGTATGAACTCTAATTCAACTATTAAAAAAAAAACACTATTGTTTTATGTGTTTTAGCGGATCTATATTCAGTTGAAATTGAAAAGTTGAATCAAATTGTCCTAACGGATTTGTCACAATATTTTTGGAAAGAATCGCACCCAAAATTTCATCTCCTATGAGAATAAATTATGTGATGCATTCATACTGGGCGCCTCGTCTGAGAACGAAGCCGTCTCTTCTCCTTAACGTATCGCCCCGGCACCCCCATTCCGCCCTTTTTTTTCGCCCCTTCTCTCGGCGGATGAATACATTGCGAGCCAACGCCATCGCGCATGCGCGAAGTGTAGGTGGCAGTGACGGCTAGCAGTCGTAACCAATCAATGCTCAGCTTTATGCTCTTTCTTTTTATATTTTCTTCTTCTTCGCCCTAGTAGTTGTCTTGGGATATATGGCTAGCACTCGGGCGGGCCTATAAATATGATAGAAGAAAGTTTGAGTTGAGATTTTAATTTTACTTTTCGAGAAGTCCCCTCTCAGATCTGGAACTATCTTTAGTTTCCATACTGAGATACATCAGGCAGGTGCTGAGACCACTGTGCCCAAGAGATATTAAACATAGAAGAAAAGTTAGTTTCGCAAAAAGCACCCCCCCCCCCCCCCAAAAAAAAAGTGCTTTAAACTTATAAACAGTTTCTCCTCCGTCGTGTGCTTATAAGTTCTCCTGCGCGCACTCTTTGGGTACTTTAGAAACAGTTTTAGAACACCTTACGGAGTTAACTACAGCACTTCCTGTAAAGCTCTACAGAATATACGTGTTCCTCTTGTGAATTCTCAAAGGTCTAATAACGAATCGTTTCAAAGGTAGGTCTCTGTGAATGTCATCATTTATTGTGTTACATGTACATAGAACGGACATCACCAAAAAGTAGTTTAGTTAATTTGATTGCCTGAATTATTTTTTTCAGGTTTGAAGCATCAAAAAAAAAGTATGAGAAGTAAAAATTTTCTGTTGTAAAAAACGAAATTGCATATAAAAAATCATTTAAAGACACCTTCTTTTTTTGCCCATTCCATTGCCTTTACAGACATTACATTAAGTAAAGGGGAATCACTCCTTTTTGTATTGTTAGCAGTATCATAAAAACCTTTTTTTAGATTTTAAGATATCAAGAGCATATATGCAAAAGTTAAGATCAGTGTTTTCCCAGACTGTGTTCCGCGGAGCCCTGGTGTTCCGCTAGGCCTGAATAGGTGCTCCACGAGCAACTGGGATACTTAACTAGTAGGCCACCACGTGAATTAATAGCTCTCTAACAAAATAAGGGAAGTGTTACGCTAACTACTCAGAATGTGGGAAGCGTTCCGTTAAGGAAAAGGTTTGGAAAACACTGGTTTAGATAATAGAAGAAAAACAACCATTTTTTCAACAGTAATCAACTCTAAATTAATGTCTTATTTCAAAAGGAGACAGCGTGAGTTTAGCGCAGTATCTTTTATTTCTTTTCCTTAATTTTTCAACTCAAAGCGGAGTGTCCATCTGACACTAACATTGATTTCTAAAAAAAAATGTTGCCACCTCTCCCCTCCCCTCTCCTAGATATTTTCTTGTTTTGTACTGTTTCCCCTTCACACGACCCATCCGCCCCATCTCTTTCATTCACCTTATCCACCTTCAACAAAAAACTCTGTCAATGTATTTCATATCTCGATGCCATTGTCTTAGGTTTCTATGCACATCATGCAGCTTGTATTTAACTGCAACTGGCTGAATAAAAGCACTTCCTTTCAAGCTCAAAGTATCTTGCGTGACTGTCTTTAGTCCCATAACTCATCTATTTCAGTTCTTGTATATTTTGTAGAGTCATGACTAAATTTCCCGTACCCACTGGCTTAAGCTAATCTATTACAACGGTGACACGGGCGAAATAAATTTATTCATCCATGACCAGATCTTTAATCATCAATCGTTTTGTTTGTCCCCCCTCCTTCCACACTGTCTGTTAAAAAAACCTTGACTTTTTTGGTAACTATAGCTTGCCTTCTATACATTGTTCTCTTCATATCTACACCAATGTTCTTCTGCGACACGTCTATTTAGGAGATTTTTCACAGGAAACTAAACAATGGCAAGGACGCTAAACTTAGCTTTAACGCTGCCAACTAAACAAAGCTACAAGCAGAAGAGATTAATAAGTAGCATAGTTTATCAGCTCCTCCTTTATATTGTACATCGTATTTATTTTATAAACTTCTATGAAATATTGAACATCGTATTTATATTATACACTTTTGTGTATGTCACATGTTGGTCTAAGTTCTTTAATGTAAATATATTTTAAAAAGTGGAGAGTGTCATTTGGAATGGTAATAAAATTTTGCATAACTTCTATAGATGAATAAATGAAAATTTGCTGAACTTAAAGTTGAGCTTACGAATCGTTTGTCTGAGCTTTGATGCAAGAAGTCTGGTTTCTAAACAAATGCCTTGTATGTAGAAAAACATCCCCCCCCCTTCTTTTTACCCACAAAAGATCTCGGTCGTCTTCTTGTGAAACTTCTTCATCACGCGAGTTTGTTGCTTCGTGAGTTTAGACTATTAGCTTTTAAATTGTCTCCCCTGAAATTAAAAAAAAGTTTAAATCTAATTACAAAATATTTGTTTATCTAAAAAAAAAATGTTTTAACTTTTTAAAAAACCCCAACAAATTTCTATGTTCTTATTACAACACAAAATCACAAACTAAATATAAAGTTGGAAATTTAAAAAACTCGTTCACAGTAAACAAAAAAAAATATAGTTGTATAAATAAAATACAACAAACAAACCAATTTGATATTAGTTGTAATATAAAAGATAGTATAAGACATTATATCTGAATCCCAACATTGTTTCATTTTTATAAACTTTTGTATATATATATTTCGTGTTTCGCTAATTTTTTTTAGTTGACTCCAGTAATTGATATGTAAATGTAAACATAACGCCGGCGGACAACGTCTTTGTCTGCACGTGATGCGGGAAAATATGCAGATCGCAACTGAGTTTACGAAGTCAAAACACTGCACTCATCTTTGACCTTCGGAATCGAAGACAATGTCATTATTTTTATACTTTTTTTTTTCAAATACATACGTCTTCTCTCACGATTCTGCTCTTGAGATGTAGTAGCCTCTGTTAAAAGCCTAAAGATGCTCCTGTTCCGAATTTCTTTAATTGATGTCTTCAACTACTTCAGTCGCCTTAGAAACAGTATCACCAACACTAGCGCAGAAAACATGACTTAATAATTAAAACACACGTCTGTCATTCTGAAATGAGCACTAAGTAAGATTTATATCCATTGGATAGCAATGTATTAAGAGCTGGTTGTTAAGGATTTATTGTTATAGGAAATATCACTAGCCAAGTGATGTAGAGAGAACATGTTAATATTAAAAACCTATTTTTAATCACTTTTTGAAAATACAAAACTGGGTAAAGGATTATCCGACCCTGGCGTAGAGAGGTGGAGCCATATAATAAATACAATCGCGTTTATGCCTGTTTTAGATCTTTTTTTTTTGTATCACAAGTATGATAACTTCTGTCAGTAGATTTTGGACAGAGAAATGGCACTGGTGCATCTGTGGTGTGTTTGCGCTGATAATCAGCATGTTAAATATCAATCTTTCAAACAGCAAGTCTCAACGGACCCTTTGACGATTTGAAAATGTTCACATGCACCTTTTAGATAGGAAGATTGGTATGTCCTAGTCCTGCAAAATGGCAGACAATAGATGAAGGGGTTTATCAAAGTTTATCAAATAACTGGGGGCGCTGTGGCTGAGTGGCTAAGCGCTTGGCTTCCTAACCTGAAGACCTGGGTTCGTATCTCGATGAAGACTTGGATTTATAATTTCAGCATTTTAAGGGTGCCCCTCAGTCCACATAACTCTAATGAGTGCCTGACTTCAGTTGGGGAAAGTAAAGGCGGTTGATCGTTGTGCTGGCCACATGAGACCCTGGTTAAACCGAGGGGAAGTTATTTTCTTTTTTTTTATACACCAAAAAAGTCATCTAATTTATAGTTTAACTTCCATGTATGAAAAAACTTCGGAACACTGGCCAATTTAACAAAACTACACAGTGCTTTAGATTCAATTAAATAATATTTCATTCAACGTAATTATCATATTAAAATCGATTATATCCTGCATCTATTTTTACCAGGTGTTATCGCTATTATTTATATCATTCCTTTAATGTGTGTTTTTATACAACTAACGCTCAGAAAAAAAATATGTTATTTATCCTCGTTGGGGGCAACAAAAAAAAATTGCACAATTGTGTTAGCGCCCAGACTCATAGTGTCCGTTAGTCACGGGAGCTCGAGCAATGAATGGATGCACAACGCTAATTAGAGAAATAAAAACAAACAAACACTATAGCGTTAGTTTCTTTTGTTATGAAGTTTACAAACACATCACACAAACACCACCACAGCCCACACGCACACACAACGATCTAGAAGATTCAAATTTATTTCTACTACCACTGAAAGGTTAACAATGAATTCGCTGCTGCTGTCTGTCACGGTGGTAATGGTTTCCAACCGGGACTCTACACGTTTCTATGGATACGACTTGGTGTTTCCGTTTCACAATTCATTTCCGGTGCTTAGTGCATTAGCGTTTTTTTTTTTTCCTGGCAGGTCTCCATTTTGACTTGGCTCGGCATTTAAAACTTTTTGTACACACACAAATATCGTATGAGGTATCCCTATGGAGGGGCATTTATCTTTTGGTTGGGTTAGAGGCGTCACTGTAAAATTTTAAGGAAACACTGAATGAGGTTTATTTGTTATTTATAAAGCTACACAGAACGCCTCTATTTCACCGTCCTACTGTAATGCATGATGATAGGATCGAATTTGAATGGCTTTCATCCTCCATACTGGATACCATTTCCACTATTAATAATAATAATAAAGCTAGTCTTCGAGTCGAAGATTAGTGAGGAATGCAGTATTTCTCGTGGCTGCGCAGTCCTAGCTGTGACCTACATATCTTTTGTGCAATATTCTGTTTATACTTTCACTTACACTAACAGACAAGACATAGTTATTTTAATTGCTTTGTTAGGACATTTTTAACTATTCAAACAATGTCTCCTATTGAATTTTAAATAATACTTATTTGTTAAACATTTCTCATGGAAAGTTACTTACATACAATTATTATCAATACTACAAAGTAAATTATTCATGTAATATTTGCTTTAAAACATTTAGTATTATAAATAATTTGGAGATAGAGTAGATTATTTAAGTATATAAGAATATATTGCATGAAACGATAAGTGTAAAGATAAGCGTATATATTTATATCTTGTTATTGATTCGTCTCCCTTTGATCACTTCCATAATTTGCCATGTTTGAATATTAAAATATAATCAGATTAAAAAATGTAGGCACAATTTCATCCTAAGCCATGTCTTATATAGCTTGGATATCTTTCCGGCACCAATGAAAACATCGTTTTAAAGTGAATTCTGGTATAGATTGGTAAATGCTATTCATGTTTTTTGGCCTCCTTCAGTCGCGAAGAGATAATAGATCATGAAAAGTAGATGAATGCCTGGGCATTAGCTGTGGTCGGAACTATGTCACCCATACGTAAGTTCTCCATC